TTTTGTGTTTAATAGGTTAGTTCTAGGACTTACACGTTATGACACATGTGATGCAAGATTTTCATAATGGTTAAGACAATTTGTAAGTTTAGAGCATTATACCATATATGAATATGAATTATATTTTCATATAAATTTAAACAATGATTAATTTTAATATTTTACAATTGGATTGGTTAAAGAGCAAAATGACGAAATTGATTGTCGTCTGGTTGAGATAACTTATGGCCCTGGATGCTTGGTTAAGTGTTTCAAAAGCTACTTTGTGAATGGTTTTAAGTTTCATATAGCTAATAATGGCCAAACTCGTAAGACGATGAATTATAAGGTATGTGTGAAAAAAAGTTGTTACAATGATTATAAGCGTGACTTTTATGGTATCTTGAAAATATCATTGAGTTAGAGTACTTTGGAATAAGGAATAAAGTTATACTTTTTAAATATCATTGGTTTGACATGGAGAAAGGTGTATGGGTAGATCCTCATTATGATCTTGTTGAAATTAAACACAGTTTAATGTTTGCTAGCAAAGAACCACTTATCTTAATTGAGCAAGTACATCAAGTTTCCTATACAAACTATCCTTTTAGAAGAAAAGATTAAAAATATTGGTGGGTAGTGTTCAAAACAAAAGCCAAGAGTACATATCAACTTAGTAATATTAATAGAGATGAAGAAAAAACAACTTATTCAAATAAAGATGTGTACCAAAAAATTGAAGTTTCTATTCCATGAAAAATTATTATCTCAAAAGAACTTGATAATCCTACAATCCTTATTGTTGGTGATTATGAATGTATAGCTTTATTATAAGAGATTTGAAAAGAAAAAAAAGATGAAAAAAAGAAAAAAAAAAGATGATGAAAATAATGATGATGATGTGACGCTTTTAATCTCACATTAGAAGAATATGTGAATATAGTATGATACATATATAAAGATTTAAACCAAAATCTGTAAGGTACCTTTTGTAAGACAAAACTATGAGAATTTTAAGTCAAAACGAACAATACCTAGCAGGTTGGGTGTGAGTTTCCACAAATGGTATCAAAACGGCTATCAATCAATAGGCATTAAGTGATACATTAAGTGCTACACGATGTGGAGTTACCTTTAGAATCTCAATATTTGGTGTGATCTTGGTCCTGTGATTAAACTCAACTTGACAAGGGCGTCAAGTTTTAAGGAGGAAAGATTGTAATACCTCTAATTCTACATTGAAAGAATGTATAGATATGGTATGATATATATATAGAAAAAGAGAGATCTAAACCCAAATCTGTAAGGTGCCTTTCATAGGACAAAACCTTGAGACCTTCAAGTCAAAGCGGATAATACCTCACAAGTTGGATGCAAGTCTTCATAGATGATGATGAAGCAAAAGATGATGATAATGATGATGAAACAAATGAGTTTGCTTATTCTAGTAATGATTGATGTATTTAGTGTAACTTTTAATGTTATATATAATATTTATTTGATTTGGTGAATATATGTAACATTAAATATAATATTTGTTTTGGCCTATTTTAATTATAATAGTTTATATGCTTATTTTATAGTTTTTGCTTAATTCATCTAATGTTGAAATAACATAATATTAAATATGTTTGTTTTTTCTGTGTTTTTAGAATACTTATGGAATGTTTTTGTTCTATATGATAGTTATAATGGGACATAGTGGAAAGAGCTTTAACACTTGAGGTGGATATGTAGCAAGATCAATCAAAATGATACATGAATCGAGTCATCTTCAGCACCAATAATAAATGATCTACCTATTGGGTCATTTATAGCACTAATAATAAATGATCCTCGAACGGACCATGAAGTCAATCCATCACTCATTGATGAACCACTTATTAGGAAGTCAACAAATGGTAATCTTAAAGAAAAAGAAATGATAACAAGACAGAGGACTAAAGGGCAAACAAAGGTTTACCTTTGCCTATAGATTTAGACAAGTGAATGTGAATTACTTCGATAGAAATTATGAGATATACTTTTTACTATTAATTTTTTCTTATCGTTATATTTTTTAAAACAATACGTGCAATTTAATTAATCTTAGTAACAAATGGATATTGATAGTCGTTTTGAGCAATAATTGGTTAACTTTACCATTTCAAACATAATTCAAGAGAATTTTATTGGTATTTAGCCGACATGGGTTAAAGTTCCTACTTTAGTGAAGAATTTAATGTTTGATAAATCTAAAATAGTAATTGGACATTTTTTTTTACATATATTTATTTTATTTGAATGAAAAGTTCATATTCATGTTAACGGCTTATTATACTCTTATCTATTACGTTAGGAACAATGTTAGTAGGTTGAATTAGATAATGCTCTAGTTCAATGTGCATAAAACAATATTTTCAAGAATCGATTTAAAGACTTATTGTCAAACGGGAAAGAATTAACGATGAAAGAGCATGGAGTTGATAACATCATACATTGTAGAGGGATGGAACAGAGGTGGATCATTGCTTCGATTTGGGATGCTCTTATTAAGAATATATGGAGCACTCTAAAGTGACAAATATATTCGCCAAAGCCAAAGCAAATCATCGAACACAAAAAAAAAAGTATTACAAAGCACATTGGTGGTTTGATTGCATTTTCTGGTCATAGAACAAGAATGGTATGATATTTTTTCATGAATTATTTTTATCATCACATTTCAATTTTATATAAATTGCATTGTTAAATATTTCATTGAATATGTCTCTAAATGAATACAATCAATTGAGATGCAACGAGAACCCACATTTAAAGAATGTTCAATCGCACTTATAAACATTTAGAAGAACATGGTGATTTCATTAAACATGTCCAAAGTTGTCAGTGTATGTGACTTTGTAATGACTTTGTTAATGCTTTCAAGTTGCCTTGCTTTATTGAACTAGATAATGTCTTGTGTGTAATGAGATACATATATTGAAATTATCAGATGGGTTAAAGCTACAGGCTATGGCTTTAGATTTTCAAATAGATCTAAGTAGCTACTTTACTCTAGTCAGTCCGATGTTGTAGCAACATCTAACTTAATTTGTGATTTATCATTTGAACCTCTTCAACCTTAGATACAACAACAAATTGATGAGTTAAGGCCTAAGCTAAAGGTTGGGCTTAGGTTTTTCTTGAATCAGATTATACAATTGATGGGGTGTAGACAATTTCCTTTAACACAATCAAATGTAACTTCTAGACCTGATGACAATAATGTAGATTCAAGATAAGAAGATATAGGATAATGACATGTTTTTTAGAACTTGTATTATGATGATTTTGGTTGTTTTCAAATACTATTTTATGGTTTTCAACTTTATAATTTGGATTGTTTTAGAATTTCAATGGATTTGAACTTTATGATGTGAATTTAACTTTATAATATGTAGATTTGATCTTTATGCTTTTAATGACTAATAGATAAATAATAGACTTTTAAAAGAATCACATATGTTTTATTTTTAATTTAAAGGTTTCTTAAATAATTACAAAAGGAATTAATCAAATTATCGATAAAATTTAGATTTTACTTTTGGATTTTATCAAAGTAATTCTCAATTTATTGATGAAAATCAACCTTTACTAATGGATTACCAAACAATTACCGATGAACTACCTACAAATTACCTACAGATTACTATCAGATTTTTGACAAATTACCTACAAATTACCCATGAATTACTTATAGATTACTGATGAAAATCATCCTTTACTAACGGATTACCAACCATTTATTGACAGATTATTTATGGATTACCAATGAAATTTTATCTTTTTCAATTAAATTTTATGGCTTTTTTTAAAATAATATTTACTAATAGAATAATTATATTACCGATGGAATTTTAAATTTACCGACAAAATGTTATTATCAACTCACTTATTATTGACAAAAAATTTCAGTTGGTAAATATTTTACTAACAAAAATTAATCTTATACTGACAATTTTTTATTGGTAATACCCTAATTTCTATAGTGTATTTGCACAACAAGTTTAAGTTCTTTATTTTTGACTTGGAACAAGAATACCGCAATAATTATAATTTTTTTTTGTTTATTTCTACAATTAATAAATAATAATTTTATAAATAACATTTTATTAAATTAAAATATAATTATGAAAATAGTAATTCATCACTTATCTATAAGTATTTGGGATATTTTAAAATTTTACAACAGATGAGAATTTTTATTACTTAAAATCAAGTGATTATAATATTTTCTTTTTCATCACTCATCTTCGTTTCAATGTGTTATTTATGTAATATAAATCAATTTGTAATTTCAATTGATTAAAACAAAAAGTGCATACTTATTTTATGCGTGTAAAACATTTTTGTAGTGAAATTTCTTACCACGGTCCATATTGTATAATGAATTTTATGCATTTTTTCACCGTACTTGCTCTATGTCATCATCAATTTCAACTATAGTGTTGCATTCTTTGCAAGCATACCAAGGTTTCTATGAAAGGAAATTAAATTTTATAGTATTCCAAAATAATAATTTGATAGCATTAAAAATTATAATTGTTTTTTTTTATTATTATTTTTACATTTGTAGCTGCAAATGATATAGATCACTGATTTGTTTTAAAAAACTATCGATTCTTCTATTTTCTTCTCAGACATTATGTTATCACATTTTTTACTTTTATAATAAGATATCCTAATAAATAAATTAATTTTTTACATTAATTAGTATAAAATCATAATTTTTAATTCTAGAATAAGAATATTAGAGTGCAATACATTTAAAGACAATAAGAATTTATCATTCTCTTAATTTCTTTGCTTTTCTTATTAAAGATTAACTATGATGGATGAGATAATGAATGTGTCTAATTAGTTGATAGGCACCTGAAAAATATTCAATAAGGAAATGATAAGTTTTAGAAAATTTAAACAATGTTAAAAAATTTAAGTTTATATATAGTTAGTAAATGATAAGTTTTAAAAATTTTAAGCAATAAGATTTTAGTAAAGGTAGGCTATCAATCTAAGATCAAAATTTATCCTCTTAGGAATATCACATTCATTAATCAACAACAGTACTGACAAGAACACGGGAAAATGGCAATATCACAATTCAGAAACAATCAGGGCAGAAACTAAATTCTTTAAATTAAGTTTCTAACACAATTTGCTCAGAAAGGCTGTGAAAGTATGTAGGAATGAGAGCTAGAAATCAGAACAACAATGGCATGAAATCGCACAAACTGGTGTGATTCCGTAATTGGGATTTATATGCCTGAAATTCCTATTCACAGTCACCCAGCTTTAGATGAATCAGTTGAGTGCTGTTGCAAGCTCCTCCTGAGAAAATCAGACAACTTGACACTCGCAGCACGCCCTCGGTCTAGACAGTAAAAATAATCATCCACTGGAACAAGAGTTCAAATAAGAATCTATTAGAATGAAATATGGCATCACACATGTTTCAAGCCCAACTAATACTTCAAGCAGCCAAAGACAAGATTGTAAAAGAGAAAACAAAAAGATCACAGTTGTTAAAACTCCCTAATCACATCTAAGAAATACTTCAAAGGCAAGCAATTCTATTTAATCCAAGATGGTACTAGCATTTACCAAGTTCTTGCTCCATAATGGTAACCAGTGAAAATGATACATTCTATTTTGACAGCAACCTTATATTTCCATAAACATAACAATTTTTTCAATTACATGTGATTCCACAGCCACAAAGCAAAATTAATTTGGAAAGGATAGGCTAATAGACTGAAAAAGTACCTGACATTGTGCCATGAGTAACAGATGTAATAATCCCATGTTCTATGGGTTCACCTTGCACACTTAGTGATCCTTCAGGAAGGACTGAATGGACTGAGTTTGGGAAGACTAAATAAGCAAATGCCTTCATTTTCTGCTATTATGAAAGACAAGAACGTAAGAAGATAGGATAGAAACAATATTTACATCTGTTACACTCATGTCAGCAGCCAACTACTCTAGATTCATTTGTCTAAAGCTGCACTCAAATATTCCAGATGCAAGCTACTGCTGTCAAATTATAGTTTCAGTGCAGGATATTTGAATATCATTGGATAATTATCTAGGGGAGAATTTATACTCTTTTCTTTTCCTCTTTTTGGGGTTTAGAAGTTTCACACATGAGCTAAATTCTAGTTAGAGAAGAAATTTATAAGAAAATAAATCAAAAAAAGGAATTCTGTAATAACCTGCTCTTCTAGCTTGGTGGGATCCAATATAACATATCCACTCTTGGCCACACAACATATTGCAACTGCACTATCCAGCATAAAATCAGTAAGAAATTAAGTACTAATTATTAATGAAAACTTGAATATGACCACATCTCGGCATTGCTTACTAGCAAGATGCTTCATAGGAATTCCTGCATCTACAAGGGCCAAACATGCTGCATTTATGGCACTAGGGAGAAGCTATATGAGATAATATCAAGGATTACCATGATATCGTCAAGAAGATGCATGATATATCTCTCACTATATACTATCAACATTGGTGTGGAGGGGGGGGGGGGGGGACCAAACAATCACTGAACTATAATTTTAAGCAAAAGTTACTCATATGAAATCTCTAACATGAAGACTCTATGGGGCAGCACCATTGGCTCATTAGAATCATAGTTTTCTCTATGTAAATTCTAAGTGTATCCTAACATATATCAAACGAATATTACACTATAAACACTGGAAGCCTAATCTTTGGAAAGCTGCAAACTAGGGAACAATGAAATGAAGTTGTAAAACAAGAGTAAGGGAAATGCATAAAGGATACAGCACCATCATCATTGACAACCTGCGACAGAAAACATAAAAACTCAATTTATGAACAATTCGACCATAAACAAAATGGATTTTTTTACAGAGAGTTAATCAAATAGCCTACCTGAATTATAATTGATGTTGTAGTATTTGGATTAACAGTCAAAATACAAATGCTCAGCAGAGTTCTCTTCAATATCATCTCATATTCCTTTTCCTGTTTCCCTAAAAACCAATGGAGATATTCCGGAAAATTCCCAACGTACCACACTTCAAACGCAAGAATAATTAAAAGGGGTTTTAAGAAATTACCTGTTTGTCCTGTTTTAGGCTTCCAAATAACTTCAATGCAAGCTTTCTCAGGGTTCTCATTCTTTTTAGTTCCAGCTTTCGGCCCATAAACAGCAGCAAGTACTTTCGTGTCTCCTAATTAAAATAAAATAAAATAAAAAAGCAAACAGATTTATAATCGAAATACTATGATTTCCCAACAAAACTTTTTATAAGAGGAAGTACCTTGAGACCAACTGGCAGAGCCATGAGCACGATGGAGAATGTTTCGAGAACAGGCGAGAGGTCTCAACTGGTTCTGAGTGCGTCCGTCTTCTCTATCGACCTCCATTGTTCTATCTCTCTCAATAAACAAGCTTGTTTATCTCGAATTTTACTTTAATTAAGTAGAGATTAAGGAAATGGAATTTCGAATTGCACACACGTCCAACTGCGAGAAAATTTTGTTGTTTGTAGAATTAGGGTTACGGATTTAGAATTTTGGTTTTTTTTTTTGGTTAGCCGCAATGGGTCGGGCGGTCGGGTAACGGGTCAACGGAGATAAATATTCGACGTGGTTAAAAGTTTTTTAATATAGGTAAGCTATGAACCGGATTGATTTTAAAATATCGAAGATCAAAATTAATTTAAAAAAATCGAATCAATTAACTTATTTTTAATAATGAAAAATAACTGAACTAAAGTCGATGAAAAAGTCAAAAGTTTTTATCATTCTTTTATCATTAAAATTGAACAATAATTTTATAATAATTTTTACTTAATAAATCTCAATTTATAATTTTGTTATAATATCTTATTTTTATTTTAAAATATAAATAAAAATATTTATATTTTTTATATTATATAATATATTTAAAATTTTATTAAAAATAAATTAATTTTGATTATTAATTTTAAAAATAAAAATTAATTCAATTATTTTATTAATTAAATTATTTTACTTAATAAATCATTATCTAAATCAAATTAATTATAATTTAATCGAATTCAATTGACTGTGGTCCTTGTTGGCAACGCTTATGCTCACTAGTTAGAACTTTGGCAAGTGAAAACATGAAAAAGGAGGCATGTGGGGAAAAGGGGAAACAAATTCCTACAGTTTCGTCCACTTATTGATTAATCAGAGTGTCTCCTGTATTTGTAAAAAGAAGATAAAACAAGAAAACTGAAATATGGGAATTTTCTTTTTCATCGTTTTCCATCGAAACAAACAGAATTTAAGAATCCGCATGGACAAGCAGTAAAAATTTAAGCCTAAAATCACGCAAATCAAACCTCAATGGGCCTCAGAGATACAGGAAAACCAGTAGGGCTTCCTTTGTTTCTTGGTATGGTACTTATTACAAGGAATCAGCAGCAGGTTCGAATCTTTCCTAGAAAACTCATTTGCCGGTTCATGTTACAGGTTAGAGTAAAAAAAAAAAAAAAAAAAGCCACCAGCCCAACAAGGAAGTCCAGTCCAGTAGTCATTAGTCATTTAGTTGCGGGGATGTTTAAAAGTTGTGGAAGAATTAGTTATATAATGTTGAGTCGTGGAGAGTATTAAGGAGGATGCCATCGTTGTATGCAGATAATTTTCATTTTCTAAAATTCAAGAATATTCCTCTTCTCCCTTCTATCTTTTTTCTTTTATCTCTTTTTTAGCTCATTCTTTGCATTTCACTATTTATTCCTCATTCTTATTAGTTGGTCGTATCATTGGTATCAAAGCCAGTGGTTCTGGCCTGGTTGACGGAGTCTCGACGTGGTTACAGAAAAAAGTGGGTCATCTTCAAAAGGAGGCCGACAAAACTGATGCCAAGTTAGAAGCTGCTGCTAAGATCCAGGAGAAATTGAGTGTGGATATACAGTTGGGTATGGAGAAAATTGAGGCACGACTAAAAAAGATGTTTGACCAACTGGCTACAAGCTTGAAAGGATCCCAAAAAGGAGCAGAGATTAATGAATCTTGAGAGGAAGTTTCTTCCGTGGCCAAACTAAAGGAGATCTAGGATGTGAGTGCCACCAAACAGTTTACATCTCAGATGGACCTTCCCTTACTTCCTAGAACACATACCAAGTAATCCAACCTTGAATGCCCCCATTTTGATAGAAGGGATTTCATAGGTTGGTGCTTAAAATCGAATAGTTCTTAAAGGCATGTCATACCCGAAAGCATGACAAGGTCAGGATTGTGATGATACATCTAGATGAGAAGGCTCTTCAATGGCACTAGCATTATGTGAAGAGTAAAAGTAAATTTACTGATCTTCTTTGGCACCAGTATCTGACTGAATTGCAATCTAGATTTAATGAAAATGAATTCACAAATCCTATGCTTAAACAGGCTAGTTTACAACAAACTCAAATCGTAGAGGAGTATTATGATGAGTTTAAAGGATTGTTGAATATGATACAATTGTCGGATGATCATGGTTTTAGCATATTCATTAGCAATCTAAATCTAGAAATATCTATGTCTGTCAGAATGTTTTATCTAAAAACCTTGACACATGCCTACAATCTAGCCAAACAAATGAAGTCACTACTATTTAACTTACCCAGAAAACCTTTTACACCTTACAAAAATTCCTTGCCAACTTCTTCTTTACAAAACCAGGTGCATGACCCTTCTAAACCATCTTACTCCCCTTTATTACCTACACCAAAGTCCTTTTACTTAAGCTATAGCCAACCTGCTAAGTATGCGACACCAATTAACACTTATAAACCAAATAGTAGCAAACTAAAGCCGATCTCAGCTAAGAGCAATAAACTTATTGTTAAAGATGAAAGGGATGAAAGGAGGAAAAAGGGGTTGTGTATGTGGTGTGGAACCAAGTTTTTATCAGGCCATAAATGTATTTGATTTCAGTTGTATCAGTTACTGGTGGATGAAAGGGTGAATCCATTCAATGAGCAGGAAGAATTTGTGGGCTGTTTGAAGTCTCTAGATGAAACAAATCCTAACTTGTTTGAAGGAGTGAATAGACCCACCATATCGTCGCATGCCTTAAATGGTACAGTAGGCCCACAGACTATGAGAATACAGGGTAAAGTAAAATATCAGTCTTTAGTGATTTTGGTGGACTCATGAACCACTCATAATTTTTTGGACCAAGCTATAGCTAAAAAGCTGGAGTGTAAAGCTTCGCCTATAGAAAGTGTAAAGGTAACAATGGCTAATGGGGATTAGCTGCTAGTCACTCAACTCTGCAAGGGTATCACTTAGCAAGCTCAAAGACTACTTTAGTGTACTGACTTCCTAATTTTACCTTTGAGGGGTTGTGACGTAGTGTTAAGGGTTCAATGGTTGCAGACACTAGGTCCCATTGTGTGGGATATTACTAACCTTACTATGCAGTTTGAAATGGGGGCAGTTGAGTACAGCTTACAAGGATTGATGGAAAGAAAGAATCAGGTAGCTACTAAGAAATAGGTAGCCAAGCTGAATTTGAATCATAACAGTGCTTGCTCGATATGTTAATTGGTATACAAGCAACTCAAATGTCGCAAGCTACCTGTGACCCTAAAAAGAAACTTGAGTTACCAATAGAGCTATAGGAGTTGTTGACTATATTTCATATGCTATTTGAGCTGCCTCAGGGGCTACCACCAAAGAGAACTCATGACCACAAAATACCCTTGAAAGATGAATCAGCTATTCGAATCAAAGCATATAGATATCCTTTCTTTCAAAAAATTGAGATTGAGAAGCTCGTTGAGGAAATGAAAAAGTCTGGCATTATTAAGGACAACACTAGTTCCTTTGCATCCTTAATGGCCCTAATGAAAAAGAAGGATGGTTCATGATGGCTGTGTATCGATTATGGGCAGCTCAACAAGTTCACAATCAAGGATAAATTTTCTATTCCTCTAGTGGAAGAGCTCTTGGATAAATTGACACGTTCTAGTTGGCTTTCAAAGCTTGATCGTAAGTAAGGATATCACCAGCTACGCATGGCTGAAGATGACATATATAAGACCGCTTTTAGAACTCACCAGGGTCATTATGAGTTCTTGATATGCCTTTTGGTCTAACTAATGCACCATCCACATTTCAAAACCTTATGAACAACATTTTCTAGCCTTATCTATGAAAATTTGTACTGGTCTTCTTTGATGACATTTTGGTGTACTCTGCTAACTGGAAAATTCATTTGAAGCATTTTCAACTGGTGTTTCAGGTATTAGTGAAGATTCAGTTTCATATGAAGCTGTTTAATTATGAATTTGGTGCGACTAGAATTAAATACTTGAGGCATGTAATCAGCCAGCAAGGTGTGGCCATGGATGATAAAAAGGTTGTTAAAATGTTAGACTGGCCAATCCCAAGTAACATTAAGGAATTGAGAGGCTTCTTAGGTCTGACGGGCTACTACCAACAATTTATCAAAAACTATGGTTACAACATTATTAAAGAAGAATTTTTGTGGAGTGAAGCTACTACAAAGGCTTTTAAGCAGCTGAAAAAGGCTGTAGTAACAGTACCTGTACTAGCATTACCTGACTTCAATTCTACGTTTGTGGTGGAGTTTGATGCGTCTAATGTTGGCATTGGAGCTGTCTTAAGTCAAAATGTAGACCTATTACCTATTTCAGCAAGGCATTGTCTCTCAAACATCAGTCTCTTTCTGCTTATTAAAAAGAGATGCTGGTTATACTAAAGGCTGTGAAGAAATGGAATTCATATCTAATAAGTAAACGATTCTAGATCAAAACAGACCATAAAAGTCATAGATTTCTTTTGCATCAGAAGACTCATACTACAGCTCCGTAGTTATGGATAGCAAAAATGATGGGGTATGATTTCAAAGTGATCTTCAGAAAGGGTGTAGCTAACAAGGCGGCTGATGCATTTATCAAGGAAGTCTGCAACTATGTTATGTGCGATGACAGTGATTAATAGTAGATTATTGGAAAGAATTAAGCACTCTTAGGTAGAAGATCCAAACATTATCAAAATACTTCATAAGGTACAGAAGGTTAAGGATTCTACTTCTAAGTACACATGGCAGAATGATCAGCTAAGAAGGAAAAGAAAATTGGTTTGGGAAGGATATTGAATTGAGGCAAGATTTGTTAAGTTATTTTCATGATTTAACGGTTGGATGGCATTCAAGCATGGAAGCAACTATGAAAAGTTTAGCCAATGTTATATATTGCAAGGGTATGAAAAAAGAAGTTCGTCAGTATGTAAGGCAATGTACAGTTTGCCAATGATACAAGATGGATACAACGGCCATGTCTGGGTTGTTGCAACCATTACCAATACCTGAGAAGGTATGGACTAACATTTCCATAGATTTCATTACAAGGTTGCCAAAATCTTTTAGCAAGGAAGTTATTATGGTGGCAGTGGATAGACCGAGCAAGTATGCTTATGTCATTGCATTGGCTTATCCATATTGAGCTTTCACAGTTGTTCAATCTAATTTGGACAGCATCTACAAGTTGCATCGTGTACCGCACAGTATAATGTCTGATCGTAATAAAGTTTTCACCAGACTTTTTTTGGTGAAATTTGTTCAAGTTACTTGGCACTGAGCTCAAGATGTCCACCGCTTGTCACCCTCAAACTGATGGCCAATCCAA